GCACTTGGATTTGTTTTTTCTCACACACTTATTCCTTATGTGCACACATCATGTGAACTGGCGGCTCATCACTGGGTCAATTCATTGTCTAATTCTCTCCAACGGGAGTTATGTCTCTACGCTTCTTAGGGCATCGCTACGGAACGTCATTGGCATATTTCGAGTCACTGCCTCCACGACATACTCATTCTTTCGGGCCACTATCTCCACGACATGCCCAACCTTTCGAGTCACTGTTTCCACAACACACCCATCTCTTTGGGTCACCGCCTCCACGACACACTCACATTTCCGGGTCACCACCTCCACGACAGACCCATTCTTTCAGGTTGTTGTCACTATGGCACGATCACCATTTCAAGTAATTCCCTCCATTACACAACCATTTCTTGGGGTCAATACCTCCATGACATGCCCACCCTTTTGGGTCACTGCCTCCATGACATGCATATCTCTTTGGATTGCTGCCTCCACGCCATGCCCACCATTTCGAGTCACTGCCTCCACGCCTATTCTTCGAACTGCTGCCTCCATGACATGCCCACCATTTTGTATCACTGCATCCACGACACACCCATTTCTTTGGATTGCTACCTCCATGGCATGCCCACCCTTTGTGTCACAACATCCACTACACACCCATCTCTTCGGGTGGTTCACTGCCGCAACGACACAGCCACCCTTTCGAGCAACTGCCGTCGTGACACTCCAATCTCTTTGGGTCGCTACTTCCATGACACTCCCGCTCTTGATTCACTGCCTCCATGACACAATCTTCACCACTTTTACCATATGTTTACTTGCATTTGCATTTGCATGTGTGCTTGATAGCAAGTCAGACTCGATAGGCGAGTGCTCCAGTGTTGGTCGCGATGCCTTAACGAGCTCCAGTGTTGGTCGTGATGTCTTAACGAGCATCACTTGTTGAGTCGATTCCAGTGAACAATGTGAGTTATCACATTGAGATTGACATGTGTATGACTGTGCTAAGATTCCAAGGGATCTAACTCATGTCACATTGCATGTTATGAGTTTAATTCAATGTCCTTTATTTTAAAATTAAAAATATATATTTTTCAATATATTACATTCACCATAATTTTAAAATTATGCATGTAACAAACTAGGTTATATGTAAGGCCAACCCTTTTTTTAAAATTCATCATGGGTGACACTCCTTAGATCCCTTGGATCTTTAATATGAGGTCGGTGTGACGACCCCGTCAAAGCCATACATACCTCGAGACTTACGCTGAGAGCACTTAGATGTTGGTTAGGGCAACTTTTTGTTAAATAATGTGCTAGGCTAAGGACTAAGATGCTAGGTAGTCTTTTTCAATATCTTGGCTATAGTTCTATGTTGGTTTGGTTGCTCTAGCCGGACATCATCTTTTATGTTTTTTGGTGTGCTTGCATGTTTGATATGCATGGTAGTATATTATTATTTTCTTCTGTAGAAAACCATGTCTATATATATGCATACATACATGTACCATTGAAGGAGGAGTATATGATGATATCTACTAACATTTTGTTTGCATGTGCTATTAAGCTCCCTTACAAAAATGCATGACTCATCATACATTGCACGTTTGTTGACATTTCTACTGACATTATTTTCATGCACATTGAGTGTCTTCCTCTATACTTTTAGAGTCATAGGAGAGTCTTGTATTAGAAATAAAGTACGGGCACGGGTTCCGAGGAGCCAAGGGGATAAAATCACGTGACGGAGACCAAAAATTGCTTGCTTGTGTCTCGTATCTTAATTCTAAATCTCATTGATGTATTGAATTAGGATCAGTCGTGTGCTTATGCGGCGTCTGACCATTTTTTTCTTTCCTAGGATATGTTGCCGACCCAACAACACCTGCCTTTTATTATTTTATATTTGGCTTGTTTTCCTGCTTTTCATGTATGCTTGTATGCTTAAATTGGCTTCACCATTTTTGGATTGTCTTTTGTCTGGGAATCCAACGTTGTCACTTAGGCACTTTAAGACCTAAAATTTATAAAAAAGTTTCTACAAAATCCCAATAAAAATTTCAAGATTAATTAGAATTTAGGACTTTTAAAACCAGCTTTTAATTCCCGGCATGACCTTCAGGTATGTTTTAAAATGAGTTGCATAGCATGACTTTCATCTAAGTCATATAATAGAGCCTCCAAATTATCTATGAACCACTCTAAATAAGTATAACATTTTACATATCATGAGGAGAAATCCCCATATTTTTCCAACTCGACTGACCCTACATAGATAACTCATAAAGTGATCATTGGTTTGTCGTCAATCTACATGCTTGCTTATGCTAACTTATAGTTAAAGTTGAAAAAGCCCCATATAATATAAATAAAGATAAATTTATATTTTTAGATGTTGTTAGTATGTTGTGTCAATTTCTAATAAGAGAATCTTTTAGTTGTCATTGGGGAAAAGAAGGACCAAAGAATCAAAGTTGAGGCTTTTGAAAAAAAAAAAAAAAAGCAACAATATTTGGTTTTTAGCTATGGAAGATGAGGCTAAGTTTCAATTTTTGTGTTTTTGCATTCAAGTTTGCAAAGCATAATATGGGCTCTAGAGCCTAAGTGATTGTAAATGAGGCTTCAAAGTCAAATTGTGCATATGAAAATAAACTCTTAACTTAAGATGTTTGGTAGCTCAAACTAGACTAACATTTGAGTAAAATGATGAGCTTGTGTTTGTCGATTGGCAAATTGATTTGTCATCTCATTAGCTAGTGTTTGTCGACTTAGTTATTACATCTCCATTAACTTCTTAGGACAGTGTGAACCTTTAGGGTCCTTGATCAAGGAGATGAAAACTCTTCACAATCAAAGGTTATTAGGCAACTATATTGAAAGGTAAAAGAAAAAACATGGTAAAATTAGAATACAAAAATTGAACTTTTATTTATTTTCTTAGCCTCAGAGCTCTGAGCATGAAAACTTTGGCTAAGAAAATAAATACATTTTAGTGAAATGAATATTATATGTGAAATTTTAATGGCGATAAAATTATATAGTTTATATAATAATATGTACAAACACATAATTTTATTGTATGCAAAATTCAAATGTATTTAAACTCCAGAGTTATTTATTATTCCCTAAATTGAATCCAATAATTTGTGTTGGGGTGGAAAAAAATATTGCATTAGGAGTCCTAATACAGTTTTGCTTCAAGACTAATCAGAATCTATCGCGTGTACAGATAGCCTCCCTTTATTTTAAGAAAATTAATTTAAGATTTGAGGTGTATCTGTATATGTGATAGATCTTAATTAAAGTTATGATACAAAATTACATCAGAAGTCTTTTTGAGGCCGAATTTTTCCCTCGGTGCGCTACGCTCGCTATCCAAGTAAAACACGCCATCTGGAATTTCATGACCCATATTTACACGTCATCAAAAAGGAAAAATGTACGCATTTAAGCCCGGCCCAGCCCGACGTGCTTTAGGGTTACGTATTATCCCGCCTTTTTGGCGTATGCCCTCCAATTTTTTGCGTATTATTCCATCAGAAACTTCTATTATGCATTATTCAGTAGAAAAGAAGTTTTCAAAAAGGGGTTTTTTGGCTCAGCTAGGGTTTGGTCGTTGCATTTATGATGGAGATAGATTTCTCTCTTAATGAAGAGTTTGAGCACATGGATGACGAAATGAATGTCAACGTCTTTGAAATGGAGGTAAGATTTATTGCTTACTTTAACTGTTTTCCGTTTTCCCGAGAGTAACCCAACAATAACCTAAGAATAACCCGAGAAAGTAATCCACCAGGTTTCTTAAAAAAAGTGAAATTTTCTGTGAATCTTCGATTGTCGTTAGGTTATTTCATCATTATTCTGTGGTTAGGATTTTTTATTTTCGGTTGATTGAAGAAACACTAAATAACCCGAGAATAATCTGAGAATAACCTAAGAATAAGCCGAGAAAATTAACCCACAAGATCTCGCAAAAAAGTGAAATTTTATGTGATTCTTCGATTGTCGTTAGGTTATTTCATCATTCTTCTGTGATTAGGGTTATTTATTTTCGGGTTGATTGAAGAAAGACTCAATAACCCGAGAATAACCTGAGAATAACCTAAGAATAACCCGAGAAAATTAACCCACCAGATCTCTAAAAAAAGTGAAATTTTCTGTGAATCTTTGATTGTCGTTAGGTTATTTCATTATTATTCTGTGGTTAGGGTTATTTATTTTCGAGTTGATTGAAGAAATACTCAATAACCCGAGAATAACCTGAGAATAACCTAAGAATAACACGAGAAAATTAACCCTCCAGATCTCTCAAAAAAGTGAAATTTTTTGTGAATCTTCTATTGTCGTTAGGTTATTTCATCATTATTCTGTGGTTAGGGTTATTTATTTTCGGGTTGATTGAAGAAATACTCAATAACCCGAGAATAACCTGAGAATAACCTAAGAATAACACGAGAAAATTAACCCTCCAGATCTCTCAAAAAAGTGAAATTTTTTTGTGAATCGTCGATTGTCGTTAGTTTATTTCATCATTATTCTGTGGTTAGTATTTATTTTTGGGTTGATAGAAGAAATACTCAATAACCCGAGAATAACCTGAGAATAACCTAAGAATAACCCGAGAAAATTAACCCACCAGATCTCTCAAAAAAGTGAAATTTTCTGTGAATCTTCGATTGTCGTTAGTTTATTTCATCATTATTTTGTAGTTAGGGTTATTTATCTGACTATCTCTATTGTATAATTCAAATTGTAGATATTTAGGTCAGAAACAAATTACAATGATCAAATTGCTCGTAGCTTTCTTAATACTGTTGTCCGTAATGAGGAGGAGGCTTACAAACATTATTGTGCTTATACACATTATGTTGGTTTCACCGTACGCAAGGACCACACAACTTACTGGGCTAAATCCAAGCAAATTAAGTTGAAGGATTATATTTGTGGAAAATCAGGTCATAAAAGAGAATCTCAGCTAGCCACTACAGTGAAGTATAGAAAAGCGGATACACGGAATGGCTGGGGGGAAAAGGTGTGATCTTGATGGCAACTGGACCATAAAGAAATTTATTAAAAATCATAACCACCCCTTAGCGGAATCCAGTGATAAGCACCTTCTACGTTCTAGTCGGAGGATTAACGAGTTAAATGCAAATTTACTAAGATCAATGACAGATTATGGGATTAGAGCAGCTGATGCATTCAATTTCCTTGCTACAGAGGTTGATGGTGTAGAAAACTTGGAGTGCACTAGACAGGATGCATACAACTTCATTCAAAGGGATAAAAGAAGCAAAATTGAACAGAGTGATGCCAACTCTCTCTTACAATTATTCATGGAGCGTCAAAATGAAGATAACAAGTTTGCATGGGATTTCCTAAGTGATGAGGAGGGCAGACTTACAAGCTTTTTCTGGAGTGATGGGTCTTGCAGACTATATTATGATTTTTTTGGAGATGTCATCATTTTCGTCATTAGCTACCATTTGAATAAGTATAATTTATGTTATGCTCCTTTCGTTGGAATTAACCACCATCGGCAAAACGTTCTATTCGATGTTGGTTTTTTATCTGAGGAGATGATAGAATCCTTCAAGTGGTTATTCAAAACCTTCATTCGTATAATGGATGATAAGCATCCAATTACAATATTTACAGATCATGATCAAGCGATGACAAGAGCTATTGTAGATTGTCTTCCATACACAAGACATAAATTATGCCAATGGCATATCTATAAGAAATTCTGGTCGAAAGTTCATTGCAGTGTGACTTACAAGAGTGTTAACAATCTATTTTATAAATGCATGAGCAAGTGTAATTCGGAAGACGAGTTCGAAGTTACTTGGGCTCTAATGATCGAGCAAGGAAACCTGCACAACAACATGTGGCAAGATGCATTGTACCGTATAAGACATAACTGGTCAACTGCATTCAATAAAGAAATTTTTGGAATGGGAATCTTGTCTCCAAAGAAGTGAGTCCACAAATACAAATAATGTCTGTCACGGTGCATCTAAGCCCACTAGTTCCCTAACAGATTGTTTTCTGGGTCTAGAAAATATTATGAAGTCATGGAGAAGAAACGAAAAGGATGAAGACTTCAAAAGCTTTCAAAATGTTATTACACGGACAGTTAAAACAAGCTCAGTTTTGAGGCAAGCTGCAACGTATTATACTCGGAAGCTATACTCTATGTTTGAGGAAGATTTACTTCACGGGCTATGTGAATTGACAGTCGATTCATCAGTTGAGAGACCATCCAAATTCTATGTTAGAGGTTTGGATAATCATGATACAAGTAGAACCTGACTTGTTACATTTGATAGGCTTAATTGCGACATCACCTGCAGTTGCAAGAAATTTGAAATGACGGGTCTGCTTTGCTCTTACTGTCTACGCGTCCTTAATGCTAATAATATAACAAAGATTCCCGAGAAATATTTGTTATTCAGATGGTCTGCTAAGACAAAGAAAGATATTTATAATAGTTTTGGATACAAACATATGAAAAACTCTCGGGCTCAAATGTCTGGCCCAACATCCAGAGGAATCCTATTTCGGTCACATGCTCAAAAGTTTGCCTACCAATTAATTAATAAAGCTCAGGGAAATGAACGCGCCGAGACATATATAATTGAATTATTGAAAACAGGGTCCAAAGGTATTGAGGATATATTAGATGGGAAGGATCCTCAACCAAATAGGCCAAAAAAGAAGAAGAAATCTCATAACAGTGACTGCAATGTGAATGATCCTGTAAAAATGAGACCGAAAGGTATTTCTAATGCGAGAATGAAAGGATACTGAGAAAAAAATAAGAGAGCTAAAGGTATATATCTCTACATTACATATATTTACCATTCTACATTTCATATACTAACGATTATATTCAAAATTTATTGTCTTATACTTTTACCACTGTTCGCAGGAAAAAATCAAGAAACATATATGACACAAGAATCGCACAGGAATTACGACACAAATACGATTGCAGCGTCAAACTCTCTGAGTCAGGAAATTGTCACACCGAATCCAACATGCTTTGTGCCCAATATAATTCACCTGTTTTAACGTGCTACGCCCACATTAACTCATATGTATTAATGTACAAGTTCATATAACATTATTCCAAATGGAAGTTATAGATATATGATTTGTAATTCACTTGCCTGTTGTACAGAATTTTGTTATCTTGTGGAATAACCCAACAATAACCTTACAATACCCTGACCGTAACCTTACAATACCCCGATAATAACCTTAAAATACCCCAAGGATAATCTAACAATACCCCGACAAGCCTCGGGAGTAGCCTAAGAATACCCCGAGAATAACCTTAGAATACCCCAAGGATAATCTCACGATATCCTGAGAGTAGCCTAAGAGTACCCTGAGAATAACCCTAGAATACCCCGAGAGTAACCTAAGAATACCCCGAGAATAACCTGAGAATACCCTGAGAATAACCAAAGAATACCCCGAGAATAACATAAGAATACCCCAGGAATAACGTTATAGTACCCCGAGAATAACCTGAGAATACCCCAAAAATAACCTCAAAATACCCCGAGAATAACCTAAGAATACCCCGAGAATAATCTAACAATACCCCGAGAATAACCTTACAATACCCCGAGAATAACCGGAGAATACCCCAACAATAACCTGAGAATACCTCGAGAATAACGTGAGAATACCCCGAGAATAACCTGAGAATACCCCGAGAATAACCTAACAATACCCCGATAATAACCTGAGAATACCCCGAGAATAACCTAACAATACCCCGAGAATAACCTTACAGTACCATGACAATAACCTGAGAATACCCCAAGAATAACCTAACAAAACCCGAGAATAACCTGAGAATACCCCAACAATAACCTTAGAATACCCCGAGAATAACCTGAGAATATCCTAAAAATAACCTTACAATACCCTGAGAATAACCTGAGAATACTCCGAGAATAATCTAACAATATCCCGAGAATAACCTAACAATACCCCGAGAATAACCTTACAGTACCCCGACAATAACCTGAGAATACCCCACTGAGAATACCCCAAGAATAGAATACCCCAAGAATAACCTAACAAAACCCAAGAATAACCCGAGAATACCCCAACAATAACCTAAGAATACATAACAAACTAAGAACATTTCTGCACGAGCTGCCACTGAAAGCATTCCTGGTCATTCAAGTAGGAAGAAACGCTAAAGGTTGCAAAAGATTTAATTTAATTCTAGGGAAATTTACAGACATTCCACACAATTCTTATGTATTTACATATCAAACACCCAAATTTTGATATTACAATACCTGATAATAACTCAACCGTAACGTTGCAATACCCTAAGAATAATCTGAGAATACCCATAAAATAACCCAACAAGATAACAATACATCAACAATAACATACAGTAAGATATCAAACAGATAATATATCAGCGTAAATAAGCCTGCCACAATACACAAGCATATTAACCACAATAGACAAACATATAAACCAAATCCTCGGAGTAAATAAACCTGCCAAAATTCATAATCATTCAGGCTATATAATATAAAGACAATCAAAGTATTTATCCTCCAAATAATTTATATCTGCAGATTTCATATAGTAGCTCTTTCCTAAACCGAGGCATCTCAGCCTGCCAGCCTTGATGGTCTTTCTAGTTAATCTTTCCTTTCTGTATAATTGTTTCCATATATTTACAAACAAATATACCGCAGTCGACGCTATTAGTTTGTGTGGGAATTCCTCTAGTCGTGATAACATCCCAATTACTCGGGTCACTGCGGAAAGCATTCTTGGCATCCTTACGAAGATGTCTTATCTGGTAATACAAACGGTTGTTTAAAACAGTGAAAGAATAAATAGTTTATATCGATTGTTAGTTAGATAAGGCTTAGAATTTTACCATATCACGTGTGACTCCCAAATGCATTTTATTAGGCAATGAGTCGTAGAATCTCCACTTGCGGTCCTTCTGGTTCCCAACAAGTAGAGTCTAATGCCTATTATTAATTATTGGAACTAAAATTGCCTCTACCTGAGATACAGCTTCCACTGTGACATTCGCAATAATATCTCGAAGAGGATGGTATCTAAACCCCTGCATATACAAAATAAATGAGTTTAAAAAGAGCATGAACCTGTTGCATATACAAAATTAATGGGAATTTTATTACTTACCCAATGTGCCGGAGAGACGTACAAACAGGGTCTAAAAGAATCAGGGGACTGACGCCGACAGTTATCCAATCCAATGGGAGACAAATCTACATGTTCTACCCCTACTTCTTTATTATCCCAAAGTGCTTCAAGGTCATTTCGACATATGAATGTGACCCTGAGCAATTATTATGTCATCACTGCAAATTGATTGAATAATATTTATTAGATTTAATAAAAAAATAACAGAAAAAGTGTTCTGTTTTGTACATACCTTTATTTGTACATTCTTAAACAAGTATCTATCACATGTTGCATGTGTGATGGTAGTAGTTCTCTGTCGGGGAACTCTACGGCTGAACACGGGAGGGCACCTTCATATGGAACAATTGTGCCCGGTTGTACCTCCTCCCAAGCTTCTTCAGCCTCCTCTTCCCTAGCTTCATCGAGCTGTGGAGATGGTATGGTAATCGGCGTGGAAGACTCATAAATATGTTGTACTAGATCATCTATATTCGAGGTCGAAATTTCTTCCATCTTCTTTTTCTTTACAACAACAAATGGAGAACTAACCATCCTCTTTTTCCTCGGTCCTCTGGACTTGATCCTTCAGACTAAGCTACCAATTAGGTCTTTAGGGGTGTCTTCTCCAGGTTCCCCGACACATTTATTAGTTTCACTATCAGGTGCAGCTTTATCAAAGGCAGTCATTCAACCTATCGACTGTTCTGCTTCAAGAATATCGGGTCCCCACTCCTGATCTGACGCAGGTGGTTATTCCTCCTTTTCTGGGCGTTTTTTCTTCCCAACAAATTCAGAACCAATAGGAGATTCCATGGGAACTTTATTTATTTTTCTCTTTATTTCGTTGATGTCGGTCTTCAACTCCATCAGTTTATACTCCAAAAAAAAATTTAAGTTATTCACTGAATCCTTCAATTGAACTAAAATTTGTTGTTGCTCCCTCAGAGTTTGACATATCTCTTCTAAACCCAAATGTGAATGTGTAGGTGGCGGGATGCTACGAGTATGTACAAAAGGAATAACACTATGAGACTCTGGTGTTGTTCGATGAGTGTGAATATCGGGTTCTCCAATTGATTTTCCAGGAGAAGAGATCGGGCCAGCTAGAGGGGCAAGTAAATTATGCTCCTCGACTATTAAATCAACAAAAGAATCAAGAACCTACAAAAACATTCATCATAAGAATTAAATAAGGTGGTAAAAAACTAAACATAATCATGAACTTAAAACAGACATTAATATCATTCACTTGTATAGGAATTAAGTGCATAAGAGTTTATGGATCTTTGGAGGGTTCCACCCTGTATTTATTGACCACCTCAACATACGAGTTCTGGCGTCAGGATGAGTCGGGTATATCACAAGTGTGCGCTCATAAAATCATAGTTGCATAAACACGATTAATAAATCAGAAATTCATATAACTCAAATAAGATGAAACAAATTTTTTTTGATTGAGGTTGAGCAATATACTAACCGTTAGAAGAAAAACAAACCCGTTCATGTATCCTAATGACTGACCCATCCTTATTTTCATGGCGCAAGCATTGACCTGCTCAATTAGGTGGTCACATACTGTTGCGGCCTAATTAAATGAAGAAAAACTATCTACATTCTCAGCAAATGAATAGAGCCTTGTGGGTACGCTAAAATTGCTGGAAGAAAATAATAAATTAGACAACAAAAAATTAATAATAAGTTCATGAAGACTAGCAGATGAACTCTCTAATAGTTCACTATTTGCCCGCCTTGCATCTAAGTCATTGACGGGTTTTTTAGCCCAAGTTGCTGTAGGACCTCTAATGGGCATGTCAATCAACAAAGCAACTTGATTTGCATCAAAACTCAGCTCTCCCCCCCCCCCCCCTCCCCCCAAATTCAATATGTGCATAGTTAGGACGTGATCTTGAGGATAGGGGGGCAGATCAAAAATCTGATTAAGTTTCATTCTTTCCATAGTAAACCACGTCTCCCGATCAACAATTGGTCGAACCTTATCCAACACCTCTCTAACTGCTGATGGTCGACATCTACAATTCATTGACTGTTTATTCATCAACATATAGGAATACGATACGTGTTATTAATACTGGAATAACGAAAAAATGTTTATTCATCAATATACAGGAATAAGATGCATGTTATTAATATTGTTATTAATACTGTTATTAATACTGGATTACCCTAAAACTACATCAACAATAACCTACGAATAACCTACGCAGAACATAAAAATTAACAAAACAATACCTTAAAAATAACACAGGAATAACCTACGAATAATCTATGCATAACCTAAAAATAATCCAGGAATAACCTATGAATAACTTATGCATAACTTAAAAATAACCTACAAATAATCCCTACAAAAATAACCTACAAATAATCCAGAAGTAAACCACGCATTACTTCAAAATTAACAAAACAATACCCTAAAAAGAACCCGAAAATAACTCACACATTACTTCAAAATTAACAAAACAATACCTTGAAAATAATCCAAGAATAACCTACAAATAACTTGCGCATAACTTATAAATCACCTGCAAATAACCCAGGAATAACTTAGGAATAACCTAAAAATAACTTAAAAATATTCTCAAAATCAGCCAGCAATAACCTAGTAATACAATAACCTAGTAATAACCTCCAGCAATAACCTAGTAATAACCTACTCATACTTAAAAATTAATAAAATAATACATTAAAAATAACCTAGGAATAACCAACTCATAACTTAAAAATAACCTACAAAAAACACAGGAATAACCTACACATTACTTCAAAATTAACATAGCAATACACTAAAAATAATGTACAAATAACTTATGAATAACCTGACATAACCTAAAAATACCTTAGGAATAACCTATGAATAACCCGCGCATAAACCTGCAAATAACTTAAAAAATAATCCAAGAATAACCTACGCATAAATTAAAAATCACCTGCAAGTACCTTAAAAATAAACCAGGAATAATCTGAGAATAAACTAAAAATAACCCACGAGTTAACTTAAAAATAACCCAAGAATAACCTACGAATAACCTGAAAAATGACCTAAAAATAACCTAAGTTTAACCAGAGAATAAGATACGCCTAACTTACAAATAACCTACGAATAAGTTAAAAATAACACATGAATAACATGGAATATCTGTCAATAAGTACTACGCTTCGGAGTAACTCAAGAATAACCCAATAATAATCAAACTAATAACCTAAAAATAAACTGAAAATAAAACAATGACAATTACCAGGACAACTTTTCCCCTTCAACGCCCTTCTTCATCCTCTTCAACTCCTTCTTCTGTTTTTTTTACTTCATTGGCTGCTCAACCTCTGTCTTCTTAGCCTCTTCTGATACTGTTCTTGAGCTCTCTTCGGCCTGCGCATACTCCGGATTATTAAACGCCATCGTCTCACGACTTCAAAGCCATCGAACGAGGGAAATGTGAAACCCTGGCAGAGCGAGCGGCGAAAACGTAGGAGAAAAACCACCGGAGAGTATTTTCGAAACGTCTTCGTCGACATTTTAAAAGGCGGGATACTCGAAGAGACGCGGGCCGGGTCAGGTCGGCCTTCAGCGATTTTTTTTTTTTAATTACGTGGATAAGCGGGTCTCATATTTTTCACGCGGCAAAATTTAATTGGTCAGCATACCATGCGGACTGTCCGGTCTCCTGATCGAAAAAACAGTCCTTATTGAGAGGAGAGGCATGCTATGCTAGGATGAGTATATAACATAAAATATCCAAGCCACCGCAGTAAAGTGGTGCGACGAAAAGTAGACAAGTGAGACCCCGCATTGCCGACAATAGGCGGCACAAGCTACAATCATCCGCTACGATCACGCCACGTCACGTTTCGAATATCTCCATCCACATCTCTCCCGCCGCATAATTGATCCCCGAATCCCTGGTCGAAGATATTTTTATTGATAGAGAAACCGTGCCCGACTGCATATGAAGAGAGAGAGAGAGAAGCATGGAGTTTGGCGTGCCAACCCTAAAGCACATTTCGCCGGCCACGACCCCTTCGATGAATCTCCTTGTCTATAAACCAATTGCGAAAGGTGAAGTAAAGCATCCTGGAAGTCGTGGGCAGGGTGAATGGAGAACGACCAGCGGACCACAAGGCCCCGGTGAATTCTGTTCTCGCTGCATCCATCATTGTTTTCCCCATTCCTTATAGGTTTTGGTTTTCATCCTCTTTCTTGTTTCTTAGGACGGATGCATAGTTGCGATGCCCTTTTCATTCGATGGATATTTCCAACAAAGGGGCGATGGAGATGGGCAGCCCATCGAGTGAGCCGACCAAGGTGATTGAGTTATTGAGTGGTAATTTGGATTCTTTCTTTTTATTTGAATTTTATTTTTTAGCTATTCAATTGGTTGCAGAGAAGGAAACCTTATACGATCACGAAGCAGCGAGAGAAGTGGACGGATGAAGAGCACAAGAAGTTCTTGGAAGCCATCTGTCTGTATGGAAGGGGATGGATTAAGATACAAGGTATTGACAATTATATGTCCTCCATACCACGTTCATATCAACAATTTTTCCGATCTGTTTATTCAGGACTGATGTGCACCTCAAACCAGTTATTAAGTAGTTATGTGCATTTCGTTTGAATATATTGGTTAATTAGAATTGTTTGGGATATAAATTTTATCAGTTTGTACTGTTTCTACTCTGTTTTTCTAACAAAATGCTCTCAAGCCTTCATGCTTGAACAAACTTTTATGCCAAGTTGTCTCTCAAGCCTTCATCGCATTTTCACCTATTATCAAGTAAGCTTTGAGCTTCTCGCCTTAATACCATCTTCAAGACAACTCCTATTACTATTGTTCTTATTATTTCTTTATATTGAGTAAGAAATGATAATGTATGGCTCCAACCCATGAACTTGGAAATGCAACCATCTCCTTCAACAAATGGGCCACGTTTTCTTTCACCTAGTTGTACTTATTTAAGAAATAATATTTATAAGTCCGCTTAAAAAAAAACTTTACACATAGCAAACAATCAACAATACAAAGAAAAATTGATGGGGATGTAAACTCTCATCAATTTTACTATGCAAATACATCCCATATAACTCAATATTGGACAGAACTCATTCTAATTTGTGTTATGATGCATCTAAGTTAAACTCGGTCAAGAAAGGCTGATTAGTTGAGTGGATGCCAATATCAAGTTATTGAAATTCAATTATAACTTGAACGGAGCCTTTAATAGCCTTTGTATATATGATAATTGGAAAAACATGTATAGCTTAATCTACCATCAACAAATATCCAACGTTTTGTGACTTGAGTGCTGTTTTTACATCATAAGATCATAAGTGAAAGAAGCGGAAGCAGAAGGTTGCAGGCTTAAGGTTCGAGAATTACACCGCGAGAATCTACATCTACATGCAACTCCAGCTCAGGATGTGCCAAAAGTGGATGCATATTTATTATATCAAGACATGTTGTCGAATGTCAGCACGTACATGACTGACTTGCTAGGAGATTATGCCATTTCTGTTACTTTCAACGAGGCCAATCTCGCTACTATTAGGAAACTGAAGCTTCGACAAATGAGGTTGAAGTTCCCTAATTGTGGGAGACTGACGCGAGTGCGAAGGATAGCCGTGTCTTCCAGCAACATAATAGGGAGCCGCTCTCGCTCCAGCTCTCTCGATTTCTCTCGTTCGGGTGCGAAGTTACGGGGTAACAGGGAGTTGCTATCGCTATCACTCCCATGATTTCACTTATTTGGATGAAACCAGTCCAAACCTGGGAGGGCCGACCAATTCTTCCATGTGGGTTTAGCGCCTCCTTTCCACAGGGAGATCTAATCCTAGTTATCTAGAGCTTATATATGTGATTCCTTTATTTTAGGTTTTTAGTTTTCAGTGTGTTTTGTTTAGGACAGTCGTTGACGTTTATTATTCTCCCTTTGAGGGTTGTATCCGAGGGATTGGGTGTTGTTTCGGCAGTATCTCTCCCAAGACGGTCATGATTTTTTTCTATCCCCTTCCACATCCTTCTCGTCTCTCCCGGCCACTCCGTCCCTACCGCCCGGAACAATTGTCCGCCTATATCTCTCCCAAGGTGGTGATTATTCTCCCTACAGTTTTCTACCTTTCAACCGCCACGGCCACATCTCCCGCAATCCTCTGCTTGTTGTCTAACCTTCCCAATCCATAACTGGCTTGCTTCCATACCATCGACCGCCTCCAGCTTGCTACCCAACACCCTCTTTTTGGTGCAGCATCCTCCCACCACCCCGTTATCAGCCGCCGCACCTTGTCACAACCCTGTGTTTTCTGTTGATCCATCACACCACTTCCTCGACTTGTTGTCACATGCTCCAAAAACCTTCTATTCTCTGTCCAGCCGCCAACCCACCTTCCCTTTGTTGCGGTAAACCCTCCCTATCACCTACAGCTCTTTGTTTCTGCTACTTCGACACGCAGCCCACCACCATCAATCCTCGCCTTAGAGAATCTTTTATGTTTATGTCATTGCTTTCCTATTTTTAATTGTTTTGTCCGTAACCCCTTTGAATTTCAGCAATAAAAGTATCATTCCGATGTGATTTTTGGGTTAACTCCAGTATCATATATTGTGCTAATTATCTCCTTAGATTTCAAATATACATAAAATGATCATAATGGCTCCTGCAAGTGAAACTAATATCAATTTTATACTCATCAAACCTTTTGTACTATATTCTTGGAGATTGCTCCGACTATTACAAGGATTTTTTCACACTTACTACAATCCTCACTTGAACATGCTTTATATGTCATGGATTTGGCCACATCGACTCTTGCTGCCCAATGAGTCGAGTTGTATATTTTACCAAGCAAGACACGTTGGAGGAGATTAACTAAGAGGAAGCAACTGAAAAACAAGGTGAGGTGTTTCATCTTCTATCGAATGAGGGCAAGATGTCTGTGGTTTGAAAGGTCCTACAGATTGAGGATACAATGGATCCGTAGGGCTCCACAACAATATATTCTACACATGTTGCATTGTGGATGGGAAGATATGTAATCTCAACAACAAGAAAGTGACGTCTATTCAGATGGTGGAGAAATTGGGCCTCATGATTCAGAGACATTCAAAGTCGTATTCTCTGACGTGACTGAAGGTGAATAAGATCAACATTGACCGGAGGTGCTTAGTGGAGTTTTCGATTATGAGTCAGTTGCATTAGCATAAGATCGCATGTGCATTTTGTTGGAGAGACCTTGACATTTTGATCGTAGACTCAACACATCTAGTTCAGAAACATCCACTCCATAAAAGAGGGGAAGTGCATTAGCCTTCTCCCTTATTTGGAGTCTAAGATCACATGTGCACTTGTCAATAAAGTAGCATCGGTGAGGCCAGTTTTGGTAGCAAGGATGATAGGATTGAGACACTAATTTCATATATGGGAAAATCATCACAAAGAGCATTTCAGGACATCACGGTCGATACCTTACCACTCTTTCTACCACCATTTGGGGAGGTCCAGGTCCAAGCCAGATCAATAGTGAGCTCCCAAAAGATTGGACCAATATGGATGTTTGCTTGCAAGTGGGGAAAGATCCCATAAGTCTTGGGGGCGCGGTGCAATCTCCAGTGGGATCCAGGTGTTTCTTGGATTGTAGTCGAATTGGTTGCAGCTCCAGGAGGTTAGAATAACTCCATCATCGGCATCGGGTATACAAGAGCTTTGATAAATGAGGCTGAAAGCTCCCAACTCTGGGAGACTGACACGGGCTCCCAAGGGGGGCTAAACTGACTTGTTCATCTGAACCAGTTCAGGAAAGAGGGGAGCAGGGGTTGGCCGATCCATGATGATGGGCTAGGGTTGCCACCAAAGGGGAGGGCTCTCTCCATCCTAGTTATCTATTATATATATATATATATATATGTTATTTTCTGTTTTAGGGTTACTTGAGACTTATGTGAGGACAACAATCGACGTCCTCTTGTCCCATTCTAAGGTTGTACCAAGGCGAGAAAGTGCTCCAGCTGTAATTCGTCCAAGGTGGTGACGTTCTCCAAGGATTCGAGTGATGCTCCGACTGTAATTCAATCTCGCAAGGATATTTATCTTTACTCAATCCATCCGCCGACTTTTTAGCCATCTCTCTCGTTGTCATCATCCCCGGACAACCCTCCATTTGATGTCCAATTCTACCAGCCGCCCCCTACTTGCTTCTCTAGACTCGGACCGGTCGAACCTGCTTGTAGCCACTCCTCCCTGCACCACACTGCCTCCATCCTCCTGTCGGTTGTTGTCCAGTTGCTCATCCCTGCACTGCACAACCTCCAACCACCTGCATGTTGTTGTCCAACCGCTCCTCCCTACCTCACCTTGTCGCCAACTACCTGTATTTCATTGTCTAGCCGCATCCCTACCACCTCCAATCACTTTCTTACACTAACTCAATTGCATTCCACTACTTTTGTCCTTGGCTTAGGGAGTCTAGTTTTTTGTGTTGTTATTTTCCTATTGTGTTGTAATCCCTTTTGAATTCAACAATAATATTTACATTTGTATTGTGGTTTGGGTTAACTTCGGTATCATGAATTTTCTCTTGATACTTGCTATATTTGATGGTCTTTGACACTACAAGATGAAGGCTGAGAGATATATGGAAATCGGTCTTGGCATGGTTTGAATATAATCGAGATTAAAGAGCTCAGACAAAAACAAACTTGAATACATCCATTATAACATACCAAAACAAGACATTTTAACCTCCCTTCACCTCAGAACAGGTAAAATAACTTATAATGATGGATAGAACAGCATCTAAAGTACAGAGAAAATGGCAGTAGAAAATAAAACAAGGACTCAGAATTTTCATTTCATAGGTTTCTTTCATAGGGAACCAAATGAGAGTATATTAAAAAAGGAAAAAAGTAGAACACTGATCACCTAGTACTCCCCTTTTAGTCGCCTTTCCGCCGGAAGGAGCAACCCTCTGTGAGCCTGGCCTTCCCTCCAGTTGGCTGGCAAAGCACTGTCTGGTAGTTTCCACAAACAACTACTGTTTGAGAATGACTGAATACAGTAGTTATGTTGAAGCAACCTTGGTACTTCACATCCATGAAGGAGTTAGGGGACTGGACAAGACGCTTGAGCTGTGCTTCCTCTTCTCGAGCTCGGCAAGTAGGTTTAGCAGATCAATATCGTTTTGAAGAACCATCTTCGATGATAAGTGAGAAGAGCTTTGATATAAAAATACAACCTTCATGGCATTATTGATCTGATCTTTTTTCAATGATATGGATGATGCTAATGAGTGGTTAACAATAAATTTGGATTATGTGTCTGATAAAACTGATGAATTAATATTTGGTGAAGAAAATTTGACATGGACCACTGTTGTGAAAACTAGTACTATTATGAAAAAAATTACCAATATTCAAGATTGATTTAGGGTTTAGGGCATCTTGGAGATAAGATTTATGAAGCAGGTTTGATTGGAAGAGAAATAGGAAAAAGTAAGAGGAGAGTTTGGATTAAAATTTTCTTCATAAATTCAACCTTTTAAGTTAGCAATTACAAGAGGATTTTAATTTTGATCCACTTAACAAACTCCACCAAAAAATGGAAAACCATATATACTGGAAAATAGTTAGATATGCTTTATGTATAGGATAATTTTGGCAAGGATTATTGATGTGCAATGAACAATCAAATTGTTTATGGACCCGTTGATCACATCCTCTTCGTTCTTGATAGTGTGATGTGAGAATCGCTACCATCAACAATTTATACGGAGAAATTGAATTATTAAAGTTCAAAGAACAAAATCTCTTTGCTCTTTCAATTATGTGATGCCTGGATCTTTATTATAAACTCATTCAATCTTTACTCTCTTTTGAATGCTTTTCATTTCTTTGAGCTATTTGATCTGGTAAACCAACTTGATCAACCTATCTAATTGATATGTTCATTTTTATTATAAGCTTCTTTGATCTGTGTTTCACAATTGCAACTGAATTCTGATAGAGTATGTTAAATTCATTTGTGCAGAACTTGCCCCATACCATTATCTACAATGAACCTTACACAGTCATTCAAAATCACGTAAATAGATGCTTTTATAGTTAATTCTTCCTGCCCCACACCACCGGTGCATTCCTTTACATAAATGGAATTAATGCAGCACAAACTAACATCACGAGACTGTTATGCTTTGTTTTAATCTTCCCTTCGAGAAGCATTAGGGACCCTTCAATGGAAGGATCACAGTAAGAACTTCAGATAAAAAAGGAGAGAGACAGATGCAATTAACTATGTTAGGTTACTTAAACTTTGCTGGTGGAAGCGGGTGAAAAATGGCTTTGCTTGATAATAGCCTTTGCCTTGAATGATGTTTTTATTTCATCCTAAAGTTGGCTCAGGATAGATCATATCACACGGTCATGTTAGCTAAATCCTTCATTTTGGAGATATTCAAGAGAGTTCTTTGGCTTCATATATTGCAGTTGTCCAATAAATGTCACATGTTCATTTCAAAACTCTGATTTGCGTAAACTTTTCTTCAAGGATGACTAGTATGAGGTGTTACAGCTTTTATAGTTTTCAGTGTTGCTTGTCTTGTTGCAGAGCATGTTGGTACCAAGTCGGCTACCCAGATAAGAAGTCATGCACAGAAGTTCTTCTTAAAGGTATACTATATTTTTTTCTTTCTTTATAATTACTCGCACTCAAGATGGTTGCTCATAACTTTGTTACCTGATTTGAAGTGGGGGAAAATTTTATTTAGATGCCTCTATTTTTTTTAAAAGAAAAAATAAACGTTCTCAATATTTAAGAAAATAGGCAATGTTCAAAATTATGATAAATGTTGAGAATCAAAGTTATTAGTTATAAAATAAAATTATGGAAAAAGGAAAACTAGCAAATTCTATGGAGTTAATTTTTATACCAAGTTATCATCATCATCATCATCATCATCATTAGTCTCATCCCAAATATTTAGGATTTGCTTTATAAGTTCTTAATCTTGATTCATTCGTATTGACTGCTATATTAGGTGTTGAGAATGATAACTGGTGTTAACTTAGGTATTTATTTAGGTGTTATCTTATGGTTTGGACATGTATAAAGGTGAATAAAATATGCTACTTTGATGGAATTATAAATGATATCAATGACAATGCGAATAAATTTGTAAAGTAAAGATAATTAAGATATAGGCTGTGAAGAAAGATATGCATAAACAAAATTAACACATGCAACACTCGGAAAAATTAATGGAGAAGATGGATTCATAAATCCATTGATGTTGATGGCTTTTGCTACCATGGTATAATCAGATATGTATACAATCAACACTTTGGTGCCATTACATAATGTCTGTTTAGGCTCATCAACTGATTATTTTTATGTAGGCTGCCCTCACCATAGCTCATTGCTTTTTTTTTTTGCAACCTCATTCTATCACCTCTCTGCTCAGTTTTACCAAAATTTTAAATCAACAATCGAAAATAAAATATTTTATTACTTTGAACCAAACTAATTTAAAAATCTAAACGAATCATACAAAAAATTTGGGTTCAGTTCAGTTTGATTTCTTTGTTGTTACCATATAATGCACACCCACAAGCAAAAGAATGTACATTGAAATATGAAGCAAGCTATACATGTCATGTAGTAAAGTATTCACATGTTCTCTCCTGTAGAAACAAATACTTTTTTTTAACAGTGTAAGCAAAAAAATTAAAAATTTCCAAATTATGTTAAATCAAAGTTTTATATATTAAAACAGCATACAACATGAATGAAAACTAAGCACTTATGTGCAAAAAACTCGCCGTATATAATATGCGTTTAAGTTTTACATAAGGGCGATATCAATCATTGTTAGAATAAATTACCCAACTTTAGATAAAATATCAATTTTAATTTGAGCCATGTTAGAATTGAGTTGATACAAGTTGATTTTGAGCCAAATTTTAAGTTGATTCAAGCCAAGTCTATTAAATTTATTAAAAAAAATTAAAGTTCTTAATCAATTTTCATATGCTTTCATAAATTCCATCAAATCCAGTGCAAAAAATACAAAATATTAAGTCAACAACATCAAAAATTAATTATGGGACTGATTGGACTTCAATTTTTTTGTGTTTATAATTAAAATGAATATTTTATCCAGATAATTCCAACGAGTATCAAGAACATTTGAATTTGAGCCAAAAACAGCCCAAATGAGCTGTGATTAATACGAATTTTCTCATGTAAGCCGCACCTTTGTCTTTCCTTTTATTCCATGTTGGTGAATTTGCTCCATGGCTGAAGGCTAATCAAAAGCATTGCCTCCCCTGAATAGTGTAAGGGTTGGCCAACAAATTTCCTAGCAATCTCTCAACCATTGCAATATGGATCCACCGTCGAATCCATTTGTTAATTTCTTATGATTTCTAATTTTAGATATGAACTTGCAAAAGCTTTTTTGACATCCACAAGTGATTGATTCTCAAGTCATTTTTAATATCGAATTGCTCTAGAGAAGATGAACATTTTGGGTACAAAATCGCAGTGTTATGTCCTTTTTTGGATCTCAAAAATTAATCTCAATAAACTTTTAGCATTAATGCTAATCCTATAAGTCTCCAATTTGTAATTTATTTGAAGCATTAGATTGCTTTCAAAGAAATAAATTGATAACAAGATCGTCACCTATCATCATTGTTTTCATATGGCAATAAAATTGGTGCCTAAAGAGTTATAAAAAATTTGATCATTGATATTAATCTGTCAATTTTCTTAAGTTTTTAGTGCAATAGCTTCTAAAGGTACTCCCTATCATCGATTATAACTTTACTGATTACAACCACTATTCACCATCTAGGATGACCCTGCATAGGCTGAGTCATTAAGCTCGCCTACGTGCAAGATAGTCCTTTTTTTTTGGGTTGAAAGGTACTAATTTTGACTATTTTTTGCCAAAAAAACTATTGCAATTATATCCTAAAAATTTTAGTTTTTTGGTGAATTTAAGACGAAAAATCATACATTAGAAAAATTAACTGGATTTGAATTCAACCATTCCTAAATTTAACACTAATTGTTTGTCATATTGATAGAAATCCATCAGAATTATCAACGGATTGGTCGCAAGAGGTTTTGATGAACTATTTTATGTAAATTTATGATATAATTCATAACTTGTTGTTGATGAATGTTTTGCTAGATGATCTAGTCATCAACAAAAGAATTCATTAGTGCATGTTAATTTTTCTTTGTAGCATCTTTTCCAATGAGACAATCAGCTACATGTTCATCAAATGTATTAAAACTATATGTGGAATGCAAAAATATTAATCATAAGAATGTTTGCAAGGCCAAAAACTATAAAAGATGGAGAGAACGGGGATATACATGATTTGTGTTTTTAGAGATAAAGCTAAATAGTTTAAATGGATAAAAGACTTGTGAATGGTGGGAATGGTAAGCAATATGAGAATTTTAGGAAGAATCTATTCTTTGTTGATTCAACTGTTAGGAAATAAGGAAAGAACTAATAGTTGAGTGTGGGTGAAATGGACATGCTATTATACTTAAAAAAAATTAAGATTGATAGACTGAAAAATTATCATATCATATCATATCATAACAGAGATTGCAAGACTAGTAATTATGAAAGATAATATTATATAATATAGAAAAAATGGGATATTCACTAGTTTATCACTTTTAAATTTAGATGGGTAAAGAAATTACTTGAACATATTGGTAATGATGTGTAAATTAGAAAGCTAGGTAGAATTGGAAAAAAAAATTATAACACAATTTTGAGTCAAACTTTTCTTTATTTATTCAAGCGGGTCGAGAATTAAAAAAATTACTAATAATTAAGTTTAAGTGTGGGTTAAATGGGAATCTTATTGTGCCTAATAATATTAAGGGGCTGCCTGGTAAAGGATTTAGAGCAGGATTTAACCAGGATTTAAGCTAACTCCTGCCAAACGGTCACCTTGGATAGATTAAATCCCCAAGTTTGATAAATCTGAGTTTTGCCCATTTTCGATGTAAATCTCGGATTTAGTAAATTCTGCTATCTAGTGGGTTTAGTAAATCTGGCAACACGTGAAGAGAAAGAAAGGCTCATGTGAACAAGAAGAAGGCTCACCTTCCTCAATGGTTTTGGGTCAGGAGTAGAAAGATGGGAGGATGGTTTTTTTACGTCGTGATCCCATCGTTGCCTTCCTAGCTAGCTCTAAGGGTGATTGTATTGGGAGGGTTGGGTCACAGCGAAACCAATCGAGGGAAAGGAGTATTAGGCGAGGGTTTCGGTTAAAAGAGGGGAATGGAAAGATATCTTTGTGATTTTAATTTATTTTTATCTAAGTTAATTTTATTAATTTAATTGATTAATAAGTAATAATTAATTGATATATTATCAGATTAATTATAATTATATAAATTTATATTTAACTCTTTATAATTAATTAATAAAATAAAATTATATATTTTAATGTAAGTTATTTAATAAAATTCTAACTAATTATTAATTAGTAATAAATAAATAATTGATTATTAATTGAAATTTGTTTAATTATTGCTTAATAAATAATTAGTTTAGAAATTTTTTTCAATATTCATTTAGTTCAGTGAATAATAAACTATTGATTAGCATAATTAAGAATAATATTTAAATTGAATTTAGTTAGATTTAATAATTAATTTTTATCTTAATAATTAAATAATCAAAAAAAAAAAATTTTCTGTATTCTAACATATCTAAAAAACTTCAAATCCTAGCAGAAGTTGTCAAACAGTTTTATAGTACTTATTTTGATTTATTAAATCCATTGTCAAATAATTTTTGGAATTTAACCATTTTAGGATTTATTAAATCCAGATTTTTAGGATTTATTAAATCTTAATAACTTAAATCCCAAAATTTGTCAAAGCTATTATCTTAAGAGAGATTGTGAGACCAGCAAATATAAAAGATAATTTTATATGAGATAGAGAGAATGGGGATGTAAAATTGGATTGTGAAAATAAAAATTACTTTGAGATATCATGGTTAACTAAAAAAAACTATGTAACATAGAACTGAGATAACCTATTCTTTATTGTAGTGTCAGGAAATAAGGAAAAACTAATAACCATGTTGAGTGTGGGTGAAATGAAAATGTTATGATTCCTAATAAAAGAAAGTATGATATAGTGCAAATTTTCTAGCATAAGATAGATTGTAAGATTAACAGTTGTAGAAAACCAGATACTAGAAAATAAACAAATTATTTTAGCATGTACGACAAGGAGCGAAGAACAACTACGCCAAAGAAACAACTATTATGAAAGGCTAGGAAGAAAAGTGCTAGAATTCTTGGCAGAAATTATGGCAAAAAAAATATTTTATCGCAAAAATTTCACACAACACACTCAAATACATTAAAGATAAACACCTACAATTCGAGAGGTAGGCTATCTCTCCCAAATCCTACATTTCGAGAGGGGAAATCTCTCCCAAACTCTAACCTAAGACTCCAAGCACAATCTCATGCATGACTCTAACCCTAGATATATTTGTCCTATTTATTCTAAACATTAATAAATGATAAATGACTAAATTGTTCTTAGACTAATAAAAACTAAATTTTTCTTAAGCGCCGTCATAGCATTATTCTCTTCCCAAAAAGACACATCATCCTTAATGTGATAAAAAAATGCTACTGGATCAGGTCGTAAGGCTCCCACGTGGCATCATGATCAACAATCCTTTTCATTTAATCAAAAACTTATAGTAACCCTCACCATCTTGAAATGGCTTCTTATGCACATCTTTGGCCGCATCCAAATCAAATATTGTCCTACTTGTCAATCCCAAGTAACTTATTTAGTAGCTCATCGATCATTAGAATCTCTATTAACTTCATATCAAGTGTATTCACTGCTATACAACTCGGTTAAGAATTTGGTGCCCTGCACCCTGAATTGCCCTCATCACAGTTTTCAACGTCACCTTTTTTTGTCTCCCTTCTGAACCTTGCAGTATCCAAATCATTCCCCTATAAACTCCCTCGCTCTTCTCCACCCGTCATGTTCCCATCATTACTTTTAAATCGTCCTCCGCCACGAAGTCTGCCGCTACGAAAGACGCTGGCGCAGTTGAATGCAACCCTCCGTCGAGGTCCCACCCACCATGATATTTTAGTTTGAAACATGCTTTTGGGCTTATCTCTTAAATTTGTACTATTATGAGATTTAGAAAGCCAAATTCCCTTAAGCAATCATGCTTTTGTTATATATTTTTTGAAATAAAATGATTTCTTAAAACAATGAAAATGCTAACGAAGGCTTTTCACAAGTTTTGAAAACTAAGTTACAAATTTGGTTAAATGTATTAATTATGTTTATTGGTATTAATAATACTTTTTAATGATATTAGTGGTATAATTAATGTTACTAAGATTTTATCGCTTACTATTTCATTACTATGTATAGGATAATTAACTAATTGAACAAGTATCTATGATAAATCTTGTTGAGTTCTATGAAAACTGTTTTGAAATTAATTATAGCTCATAATGTTAATGAAGTTTATTATTATTTATTTAGAATAATATAAGCCTATTATACTTAACTAATAAATATGTTATTTTAATTAAATTATTTCAAATGATTAGCACATATTTATTGAAAAAACATAATGAGTGAATAATTAGATTTTCGTTAATGTTGTTAATATTTTATTCTTATTTAGTTATGATAAGTAACACTAAGATAATTGATAAATTATTTTGCTAAAGTAATTAATAATTAAGGGTTGATTAGTGTTGTTAATATTTTCTTAGTACTTGCATATGATTATGAAGATTTAGCTCAATAATTAATCCATAATAACTGAATTAACTATCAAAATTAGTTATGGATTGAACTTGAAACAATGTGAAAAATCCTAAGAGTTCATCGTCAAACACTCACCCTGTCCACAAAGTAAATTTAAGATTTAGTTTACTTCATTATTAATCTAAATAACAAATATTCTAAACAAATCTTATTTAATTCATAATTAATTCCAAGTTATCATTAATAATTAATTTCTGACTATTATCGACATTGCCTATTGAATCCATTTAGTTGTAAGAATCTACCAATTTTCTTAACTTGGATGATTTTGATAATGCAAACAAACAAATTAAGCAATCATTTAATGGTTTATTTAGCTTCAACAAGTTTAATTAATGATCTTTGCAACTTAGTTAGAAAGATTACACCATGTATTTTTTTTGCTTATATAGGTCATTTGTTACCATATTCATGATGTCTTTTAATTAAGAGAACTGGATGTTTCCTTTGGATATGTATTTTGCAGAAAGGGGTTGGTGGCATGAATCTTGGACATCCGAATGGCTTAGAGATCCCTCCCCCAAGGGCCCGAAGAAAACCATTCCATCCATCTAATGAGGTAAAGGTGAATAACTCCACAGTATGTTTGGCTTGGTCCAGCACACTGATAAGGTGGTAAAGGCGAATAACTCCTCAGTATGTTTGGCAATTTTTTTAGAAGCCAGTGGCTGGAGCAACTGAAGAAAGCTCGAATCAGGCACTTAGAAGATGGAACTCGTATCCTTCTCTTTATCATGGTAACAACAGTGCTCACCCTTTGCCAGAGCATATACCAATGCTGGAGGAATCCGTAAAGAAGACTGGGAAGTATTTGCATTTGTTTGAAATGCATGGGAACTTCACAAATCCTCAGATGAAATTCACTTCAGAAGAAAGAAATCAAACACTAGAGAAGCTTGACAAACCATACGCATCACCAAAGCACACTGTACAAGGTGAGGGAAGCTACCAAAACATGGTTTTGCCTCAACTTACAGGTTCAAAATATCGTTGTGGAGGTACATCTTCATCATTCATTGAACAGCCAGATGCAAATGCGGATCTTAGCCTGTCCCTTAGTCATACTAGTTCTGTTACGTACATGACAAAAGATCCAGTAATTTCCTCCATCCAGCAGGCAGTTCCATCAAATTCACTGTGTGATGATTGTCTGGAGGATGAGAATGCTTCTATTGCTTTGAGTGGCTTCACCGCCAACTCATTTCCCAAGCTCCATGCAGATCCAAGCACTGCTGCTTCATTACTTGAACATACTTTTTTGGATATCTCTGCACATTCAGATACAAACATCAATGTTGGGAAAGCTCGAGATGAACGTGGCAATATATCTCCAAGTATAAAAGCTATTATTGCAGCCACAGTCGAAGCAGCTGCTGCTTGGTGGAGACTTAATGGGCTATTGCCATCTCCTTCTCAGTCAAGCACTACTTCTGCAACACAAACAATGGTGCAGAATCTTACAAAGGAACCCAAAGATCTCAAGTGTGATAGTGGCCCCAAAAAAAACTCAAAATGTTCGGCTTGTTCTGCACTATTAGAACCATCATCATCATCATCTCCAGAAACAGTTGAAAAAATAAGAGTTGATAGACCTGAAAAACATCCCAACCAACATATGCTCTCATCTGTAGTAAAAGGAAATGAGGAAATTAGTGGGTTTCCAGTAAAAAAGAAGCAGGATACTTGTTCCAACACATCTCCATTTACTGAAGCAGTAAGTTTTGGACAGCTTAAGGATGCTGAAATATACAGCAAGCCATACAATGTGCGTCCAATCAAAACTAACATTTTGGTGGAATATCAGTTTATTAACACGCATGTGTTGAGCAGTTTAATTAATTATCTTATTTTTTTTGTCTCAGGGTACACCTGCCTTTGAAGCTCTATTCTCTCAAAATGTGCTGATGCCCCAAAGTTTTGGGCTACTTCTTATGGATGACCATAAACTGGACTTAAACCTGGGGGGAAAAGAAGCTCTTGAACTGCAGATTGACATCAACAGAAAAACATTCACTGACAATGTTTTTGTACCAGCAGAATTTGGCTTGGAAGAGTAACATCAACAAGCTCACCATCCAGTAAAGAGATATTTGCGGTAAAATAATTCCATTTGAAAAAGAATCTGAAATGTTGGAACAGAATACTCATTCTCATGTCTTGTAAATTTAGTTTGAAAACTGAATAATCATGGAATTTGACGGGGATAATAAAACTATATATATATATATATATATATATAGTCCTTCACTTTCCCTGCGATTTGAAAACTTATTTCGTTTCGGAATTCAAACAGAAATGAATTAGGTGCGGGTTTCAATAATTTCCAAATTTGCAATATCATTGCAAGCAGATTGAAGATGCTAAAAACCGAAGAATTTGCTGAAGAAAAAAAAAAAAAGAAAAAAATGAATATTAGTCGCATCATAAAATAAAAAAAAAAATAAAAAAAAAAAACTCAGAATAATGAGCCACACACAGATATAAAAAAAAAAAAAAAAACTCAGAATAATGAGCCACACACAGTGGATAAGAAAGAAGGCCCAACCTAATTGTAGAGCATTGTATGGCACGTGGCCTCCCACATCAGACTCCGGATGCATTCGGAATTCTAACTTAATATTTTTTTTCTCCAGTTGAGGAAGAAGATGAGGAGCAGATAGGAGAGAGTTGCGGCCGGCGACATGTGGCTTTGACTCTGGAATTTACACCTAATTCTTATGTGTTTCCATGGTTTGAACATCTAAATTTTACTTTTTTATATGTTTATGCAGCTTAAATATTTATATAAAAAATACTACTTTTATTTTTCTTTTTCTTTTTTTTTTTTTTTTAAAAAAAAAAAAAAGATACACGGTTTAATCCATAGCTAAGGTAGGATATATCTGTAAAAATTGAAATTCAAATGTTGGATATGTAAATACGTAAGAATAGAGTGTTATGTATTTTTTTTTTTTTAGGGTGGGGAAGATAAATTAGTATAATTTAAATGAGCTGGAAAATCTATTTGAAGGCGCGGTTTTCTTTTGACTTTTTTTGGCTCTACGGAACCAGTCTCGGTCAAGAAAGTATTAGATAGACATTCAACTTGGACTTGGTCCTTTTTGTGCTACTATTTTAGATAATAGTTCTAATATTTGAAAGTAAATGCAGCTGTCAGTAATTAGTTTAGATATAATTTATAATTTTAAATTATTAATTAAATGATGAAATGATTTTTAAATTTAATATATTACTTAAAGATAATTCAATAAGATTAAGATAATTTGTTTTTAATACTATTAAAACACTTGAGATAATTTGTTTTTAATAATATCACCTGGGCCTGTAATTTATAAATATCAATATTTCGAGCGGTATACATGTAATTATCCCATAAAAGTTATGCCAACATTTTTTAATTCTAGTGATAAATAACCAATGATAAAAGGTATGTCAACTAATCCTCAAAATATAGAGTGGTTGAATGGCAATGCTTGACTACTATTACTGTGATGCAAAATTTTGTAGAAATTGCTAATTACTATAAAAGGTTTGTGAAATAATTTTTTATATTGTAATGCCTTTATTTAAACCAATCATGAAAAATGTAAAATTTTAACACTTTGACTTTATAAGAGCACTATAACATTTTGTAACAAGTATAGCTTATGTCCATCTTCAAACTTCATCCAAAGGAATTTATTGTTAGGTATTCTTTTTTACAATTAAATGTTTGACTATATCTATATTAATCATATCGTACTTGAATCAACAATATTTGAAATGTGAGCACAACCACATGCTTAAGAAGCATTATTATTACTCACTAAAAAAGTTGATACAAAATACATTGGAACTGTAGAAAGGAACACACAACAGTAGGAAAGTACACAATATCAATTATTATAAGAAGCTTCAGTGAGTGGGTTCAGTGAATACATGTCCTCCAGAATGATCTGATGACAATATAAAATATAGTATAAGTTAGAAAACTCACTACATATTGTTAGTCTAAAAATTTAATTCATTAATGTAAGAAATATATTTTTTAGACAACTTGCTGAAATTTTGAGTGGGCTTATATAACATAAAATTACTTATATACTTTATTAGGGAACAAGAAATAATGCTCATTTGAAAAAATACATTTAAAAGTTAATTCATTGTGCAAAATAATAATAAGTATATATATTTCTTTTTTAAAATACAGCATTAAAGTATGAATATCTACTAAGTACCATAAGAATTGCATCGACAAAACAAATAAATAAATATGCATAAAACACTCTTTAAAATAAGTTGATGAATAATAAAAATACAAATAATTAAGTTCAAAATAAGCTAACAAAAATTTAATCATCATTTGGGCAGGGTGATTTTGTTATTGTCTAAACTTAAAGAATTTTTTTCTTTTTTTTTTTTGTTAATATTATTATCCAAATAAAATAAAAAGATAAATAAAATCTATAAATAATAAAGTCAAAATAAGTTTAAGAAAAATACCATGTTTCCCTAAACCCTAAACCCTAAACCCTAGCAAGGCCCGTTTTTGACCACTCGCACGCCGGCGCAGGCCGCATCCGGGCAGCCGCAACCGTACGTTTTGCCGTCCTCGCCGCAGACAGGTTGGTATCGGAAGCAATTGATGGGGCAGGCCTTTCCGTCGTTGTTTGAGACAGGGCATGGATTGAGGCGACCATAGGGCGCCTCCGATCCAGCGGCGGAGATAGCGAGGAGGAGGAGGAGGACGAGCGAAAGAGGAGGGAGAGATGATGCCGGCGACATGGAGAGGAAGAGAGGGAAGAGAGACCGCCGGTGGCTGACTCTTATGCTTCACGATTGCGGGAGCATCGGAGGCTCTGGTTTTTATAGGCTCTAAAACCGGATTTAATCAACATTCAATTTCATTAATTAATTGATTTCATTATTATTATTACTACTCGTAATTATATTAATCATTAATCATTATTAATCTATTAAATTAATTAACTATGCATTACAATTTACTAAGCTAATTAATCATTAATTAATTATCAATAGCTAATCAAGACATTATCAATTAGGGAACATCTTAGATAATTCTTAATAGCTAATTAATAAATAATTTTTTTGTTAGCCATTTTATATACAAATACCAAGATTATTTTAATTAAATTCATTTTTTTATTTAGCCGATGCGAATTGTAATATAATTTCAAGACATTATCAATTATTTATTAATAAGTCTTACTTAACTTATTGATTAAAAAAATATTATCAATGAGGCATATTTATTAGTAGTTTATATATTGTAATTAATATATCATGTAAAATACTTATTAAATTCTTTTAATTCTGTTTACTTTTAATCCTTCATAGTTAATTGCTATTATTTGTTAAAATTAATTTATTACTCTTCTAATCCTTCATAATTAATTGCTATTATTTGTTAAAATTAATTTATTACTAAATACATTCGTAATTGTCCTCCAATATCAATTAAAGTGAAATTGAACTTTTTTGTTGCATAGGTAAGGGGGCATTTATGTAAGTAACACCAAATTATTATATATCTACATATCCAACACCTAAATTGTGCTCTTTCAAATAATATCATCCCTAATCTTTCATATCACATCAAAAATACAACTAGTTTAACTAACAGTAAATACATAAGTTCAGGTGCTAGATATGTAAATACATGAGAATTGGGTGGTATGTATGTAAATATTCCTTCAGAAAAAGCAAAAGCAGGATTTCAAGTTAACATTTAGCAGCTAGCACAGAATAATGTTGAGGATTCCAGGTTCTTATATCAAACCTCTCCTCTATCATTTACAGATTCAGATATAGATTTCATTGAAGCATCAATAAATCTCTCCTACACATGATTAGCAACTTCAGCGCATGTCATTTAGAAATGCAGGTCTTCTTGTTCTTATTCATTCGGCACAGTCAACACCCGAAAGATACACTTGGGACTGAATGACGCTGCCACCAACCATGAAACCCGGCATCACCATGAGTCCAACCTTCGGTCTATGCTCGTCGTCACTCAGTATAAGGTTTTTAACCACAGATCCCATGTAGACCTCTGAGTATTCAGTCCCACTCCTCACCTGAAAAACCTTGACATTAGGTTCAAAAGAATTAGCAAGTCTGTGCAACAACCAGATGGACTTGGCCAGTTTCAGAAAAGCCTGGTAGAACGGTGTCCTCGGGTGCCCTCCGCTCTTCACATAGTTCCTCTGATCAACATTGCCAAAGAAAGAGCTCTCCATTTTGGGGTGGATGATCGAGAGATATTTGTTTCTGCAAAATCTTCCAAAAATGGAATCTGGGTTTTGGCTCAATACATCCAATGGATCCATGGCTCGAATGGCAAGAAACTGATGGAAAAACCCTTCGTTAGATACATTAAGATCGCCTGTATCAACACAAAAGCTTTCCTCTTCGAATCCGCTGAACATTCTCTGGCAAATGTGTGCTTCAAATGCATACTTCTTGTGCGGCCTTCTCACATAAACTACAGATGATTCGATGGCATTTGCCGCTGCATCCAGATCCCACCCTGCTGCTTTCATCATGTTAATCAGTGGCTTTGAGAAATCGTGAATGGCTTTGTATGCGGTTTCTACGGCCGAAGCAAACAAACTGGGAGTCAGTTCAATAGAGAAGAAGTTATCTTCCTCAGAATCGCCTGGTTCTCTGGACAGCAAGCCCCTCTGCTTGAGCTTCTTCTCGAGCTTTACCTTTCTCTGCTGAGCCTCCTGGATTTGCTGCTGCAACTGAAGGATCTCGGTATCTCTGTTCTGGATCTGAGATTGAAACTTTTTAACCATGACTTCGTAAGTCTTGAGCAAGCTTTGTTGTTCTTGAATTTCAGAGACTAAACGAGAATCCTGAGGTGATGAGGATGATGTTAGTTTTGGTTTTTGCTCTCTATAGGCGTGCTTGAGCTCGGAGAGCCTCATAAGCTCTCCAATTACGAGTTTATCAGCAGCCTGAATCTTCTCAGGATCATAAGGAGTGTGAGCATCCTGTAGCTGAATGTAAGCAGCTTTCAGGGATGAAATATTGTTGAATATTTTTGAAACTAGCGTCTCTATGGACTCTTTATTCCGATTTGCTGCCTCGTCCATCGGTTGTGGATAAACCTTCTGGTTATTGCTATCATGGCATGGGTTTTCTTTTAGTCCTGCGCGTAGCATAGCTGGCTCTTAACAAGCAGCAGCTATCTCTAACTTTCTCTGATTAAAACATCAAACATTTATGTAGATAAGAAAATAAAAGTCTTCGAGTAATCTGCGAAAGCAATCGGTCAAACAAAATTTAAGATGCTTGTCATACATGAAACCAAAAACATTTCTTAAGCAACGAAAATGTGAGAAAAGGGATTCCATCACAGCTGAAACTTTCAAATAATTTTAAGTCAAAAAATGAGAGCCTAAATGTGATCTTATGCAACTACACAAACATGAACCTCCTTTTCAATCTCTACAATAAAACTGAAATTAGTTGCTTGCTGCAACGAACCTGTAATTGGGATGCCTTTAAATTAAAATCTAACTTCCAAAATTTCCAAAAAATCTATAGAATCAATTTACATGTTTTTGTATCTGTTGTCAAATTAAAGCATTGCTGGTAAATGATCCTTATACCAAAAGTCATAAATCGCCAAAAGAAGCCAAATTTGTTTTCTATACTTTTTAGGGAAAACTCCGTTAGGAAAGAACAGCAATGCGTCTAACATATACCAAAATAGCAAGCATCATTGTTTTCCCAATTATCTTCCACTTACAATGCCATATCACGGCAGCATTGGCCCACGAACTTATACCCAAAGGGCAAACATCATTGGTTTCCCAACTATCTTCCACATTTCCACTTACAAGGCAAACTGGGGCTATATCATGGCAGCGTTGACCCACACAGCATGAAAGATCAAGCACATTATTTTATACTGCCTGGATTATTTGAATCCTTTAATGTCAAGGAAGATAATAAGTTGAAAAATATCTTCAATTATATGGATATATTATAGTAATAAAATCATCTTTTCAACCCAACTATTTTCTTATATTAACACACCATCAAACCAGAGCATGCATATCAATAAATTTGAATTTGTTGTAAGAATAGAAAAGGTAAAGAGAACTTGAAATTTTGATGAAGATATCAACAACTATTCTTCATCGGTGATGTGTGGAGTGATGATCATTTGGAAAGGACTTCATCTATAATTATGTGACAATCCACGCCAAAATGTTTGATTCTTTCACAAAAGATGGGATTTCTTATGATGTTCAAAGATGACTAATTATCACAATTAAGGATCATAAGTTGTATTACAGGGAAGCTGTACTCTTCTAATAGAGTTCTCATCCACACATTTTACAAATGAAAAAACCATGTTCCCGTATTCAGATTCAGAATCAAGTTTAGCTAGAATAGTTGCTTTCTTGCTTCTACAGGACACAACTTCCACGCACAAAGGCATAGTATCCTAACACATACATGCATATATATATATATATATATAATACTGCACCTTAATATATATATAAGAGATTATATATAAATATAACATAGCCCCCGCGCTACGGTGGGATCAAACCCTTGACATGAGGGGACTTATAGTGACCCTGCCACCAGCAGGCCAAGGCTTGCGGCACACACACACACACACACACATATATATATTAAACACACACACACACACACACATATATATTAAAAAAAATGGTCGAAGGCTGTGATACAAGCCCCAGCCATCCCTTGTGCGCCTATAATTCGAGTACCACACCCTACACACCCTACACACACACACACACACACACACACACACACATACT